GGGTTTTTTTGGGGGGGGGGGTGGCTGGGTTCTGCATGGACAGTGACCCTTGCTGTGTGTGTAAGGCGCTCTGCTCAGCAGTCAGATGGGCCGTGGTTCTGCTCAGCAGTCACTCTGTGGACGATCAGGGGCCCCGCACATAGCCCCTGCAATGGGCTCCCAGTGCCATAGGTCAGGTTTGGGGGTTGAAAGGTGACAGGGAAAGCGCAGGGGTGTCATCATACATGGCTGAGGGACTGGATGGCACTGGATTCAGCAGCAGCCCGTGCCAGACTGTGCCACATGGTGGCCGGGTTGTGGGAGGCTGGGTGGAGAGAGTCCTTTTCAGCCAGAGACAGCATCATGGCATACGCCTGAGGGAGAGGGAGATGGATTACAGTTAACTACCGTGCTTAAATGCAAATATGGATGTACATTGTGTGGGTAAGCAGGTGTGTGTGCATATGAACTGTCAGTGTCTTTTCTACCTGAGACTTAGATTTCCTAAAGAGAGGCTGTTTGACGGCCTCAGTCAGGGAGGGGGAGCCAAACGAATCATCGTCCTCATCACCATCTCCCTCGCTCAGCTCGCTCTCCTCCAGCTTGCGCATTTCCGAAAAGTGACGAATATGATCCAAGGCTGAGTAGCCACTCTGCTCCTCCTCATCCTTATACCTGGAGGCCAAGAAGCAGAACATGTAAATAAGGCAAATTCAAGATAAACACAATGTAAAATAATGTTTTAAATGTGTGCGTCTGTGTTGAATTTACCTCCCAGGAGAGGTTTTAAGGTTTAAGTCGTTCGGCCCGTTGAAGTCCATTTCGTCTTGTATGTCATCACTAAGGCTGCTAGGAAGCACCTTGCCTTCTGGTTTCCCTGGGGTGTTGCTAGGCTCTTCCCCTTCTTCTTCATCAGCACCAAGCTCCTCTGCTTCCTCGTCTTCCAGGTCACGTGACCCGTGGCTGGCCATCAGCGGCTTTTCTTCCTCAAATGGGCCGCCATTTAACCTGTAGGCCAGGAACGTCGATTAGATCAATACAGCTTGTAGAATTAGTAGACATTTAAAGGAAGAATATATGACAGTGACGTCTATCTTGTTAAGCTGTGTATTTAATAAATAAACTGCGTTCATGTTCAAGAAAAGGGAGAGTAATAAAGATTTCTTCTGGTGCTTGTTAAACAAGTGAAAACTATACATAGGTAAAGTATGTACCCCGGCATTCGTCTTTTGTTTTTGGTTTCCTACAAGTTCTTGTGAGAGTGTATATAGAAAAACAATGGAGCGTATGGGATAAGGAGCAGGGAGAGGTGGATCTGACGCAGGACATGGCAGCTGGGATCGAGAGAGCCGGAATCCCGTTTGTCATCGAGGCTCTGGGGCCCCTTTAGGCACAGCAGCACTGGGTTGATCGTTGCAGCACTTAACTGGAGTGCTCTGCCTCTCTCCTTGTTTATTTTTTCAACTATCTCGTATTCATCTAATAGGCAAAATATTTAGCTGACAGCCCCATTTGGTGGGAGAGTTATGAGAGCGTTGCCAACCGGCCCATTCCTCTATCCCTGTGGAGGGAGAGAGGGCTGGCTATCCAAACTGCCTGAGTCTTAATCTGTCCCTCTGTCTCAGCGCCACAGGAAACCACCATTTGGTAAATCATCTGGAACCACATTAAGACTGATTCACTAATTACACTCCGGGACGTCTTTCGTCAGCTCCCAAAAATGCCATTTCTCACACAAAGGATTCAGAGATGAGGACTGAAAATTGGACGTGGAGAAGTAGATAGATAGGAAACAAAACACATCAAGCACATCGCCATAATTATAGGTTGCTTATGAACAGGACACCTACACTGGATTTGAAATGGATTCATTTGAGTGTGCAGTGACCGTAGAAGAAGGAGAGAGAGGGAATTATTGCAGTTTATATTTTAGCGCATACATTATCCACATCATCTTTGCTCTTTCATCAGTGGCTGATATTAATGTGCTTTCGACAAAGCTCCCGCTGGGATGGAGAGTTTGAGGCTGACGAGGTGGTATTCGTGCCATGTCCAGCTTGCGGGGCTGAGAAAAGGGACTAGCTCCAAAAAAAAGAGAGCGAGAGCTCTGTGATTAAGAAAACAGATTCGCTAATTACGCTTTCAAACGTGGTAATTTGCTGGGGATAAAGTATCTATCAGAAGTAGTCAGGAGCACAGCACTTTGAAAGGAAACACGGGCCGACCCTTTGACCCCACCCCCTCTACTCTCTTCCTGTAGGCAGACATGTTGGTTCCAGATGTGGTGGGCTAACTGCTGCACCCCCCCACCCCCCCTCCCTCTAACGCTCTACCGCCAGGTCCTGCTCTCACAGGCCTTCTTCTGCACAATCACACACCAGTCTGCGAGATCTCTATCTCAACTTCCAATCTGCCCTGTGATCACACCAACTCGAGGCACGTGAAAACAAACTCAGAGACCTGAGCAGACCTCTCAACTGCTATCCGACCTGATCACAGCTCCAAGAATTTATTTGCATAATGCTCAGACGTAGTTGCATGTGCGTAGATATCTGTTCGTACGTGTGGCCAAAAGGCAACTGATATAAGGAGCTCCTGCACGTTTCCAAAACCTGCCATTATCTTAAATGTCATCGCAGATGATTGCTTTCTACTCCAGACCTCAGAGCATGATGTGATAATTAACGAGGGCTGGCTGGGTGGTATGCAAGTCTAAAATGGGCTGATAGCAGCTGACCACTTATTCATACTTATTCAAGCCCTGAGAGGTCTTTTTTAAGTCCAATAATCTTAATGTAGCCACAAATAAACGCAAGAGTTCAACGTGCAGCAATGTAGATATCATTTCAGATAAATAAATGTTTATGTTATCTTGTATTTGATTTTATTTAGTACCTGGCCCTCGTTTGTCCCTGCTGCTGGGTTGGTGTAGTGGGTGAGAAGCCTGGGTGAGCCAAGTGCTCACTGATATTTGTAGCAAAAGAAAAAACTCTGATTCAGACTCAGACTCAGACATGAACACATGAAACTACACTTACCCTTCCTCAGAGGGGTCTGGTGATGTCTGGTTCTGGCCTGTGTTGCTGATGAAATTTCTTATTTCATTGAAATAAGAGTCTTCTTTGTCATCCAATATGGCACTGCCGCTGTCCAGTTCAGACTGTGGGGACGACATTGCAGTGCCTGCAAACAAAAAGGAAACTCATGTTTGTCTCCAAAGATGTGTTTTGATATTTTAATATAATCAATACTCGAACCAAAGTTCCCATAAGTAGCTTCACATATGTTACACATGTGACATATATTCTATCTGCAAATCAAGTTTTTTTTTCTAAAGACATAATTGTGGAACCATTAGACCATAGGGAAACATTGGATTGTACATTATGTTATACACATTTCAGTGGAATTCTCCGTCATATATTTGGTACCTTTGGAAACCTTGAGATCTTGACTACAATTTAATATAAAATGATATGAGTTTTCACAATGCTTGGCCACACAAAATACTAAAATATGTGTAATAACGGACATGCCAAAGAGACTTTAAATGAAATTTTTTTTAATATTTTAACTTTGGGGATTCTGCTGAACAATCTTCAGCTTTTTATCTTTGTGTTGTGATTTGGAGGAGAGAAATTGTTTGATGCTGCAATGGGAAAGCTTGGCAGATAATTGATTTTGTATTTGATAGAGTGAACACCGTGTCTGATTAAGTGGAAACCTCCGAGGACTGTTGCTGTCAGCTGCTGGCCAGGTGTCCCTGCTTGTTCTGCTGATTCAGAGTCAGGGTGATGCAACCTATCAAACCCATAAGCTGTGCTGCAGATGAAAGCAGCTCTTTAAAAAAAATATATTTTGTGCTGTTGCAGAGCTAGATGACAGATTTATGTAATTTAATTTTTCAACTCCTAAAATTGTTTCCAATCATGAGTCAATTATATTATATTATTCAGCAGCTTAAATGCAACGTGCTGCTACATCACAAATCAGCACCTCTCGTTTTTCTCTGATAAAATATGGAATGAACCAGAAATGTACGCTCAAGACTTCTCACCTGACAGGTTGCCGTTCTCGTGCTTCTTGAGGTGACGGTCGAGGTTGGTCTGCTGACCAAAGCAACGATCACACAAGTGGCACTTGAAGGGCTTTTCCTTGTTGTGGATGTTCCGAATGTGACGTTGCAGGTTGGAGGAGATGCTGAAGGAGCGGTCACAGTATTTACACCTGCAGGAGAAGCGGAGGCCTTTCACTTAATTACGTAATTACGAAATGACAAAAACAGCAGAAACACACAAGCTGCTAGTCATAAGTACAACTGTAGTGCATAATGAAACAGGAACCCGTGGTTTGTTCTGTGGGAAACATAATGAGATACATAATGTAGGACACACATACACACATGCATACAGACAGTCCCAGCAGTCCCACAATCCCAGACATGATGGAGGAGCTTGTTTAAGGTGAAACAGCTCTGCCTCTTATCTCTAGCCAGCGCAATAAAATTGCATTCTTCTCTCACAAAATAAGCACGCAACAGATTTGGTTCTAGCCCTGCAAAATTAGAGCTTCTTGCCAAGTTTCTTCATGCAAAATTATACGAGAAGATTACATCTTTTCTTCTGGTGGAATTAGCTCGCTCGATTGGCTGTCCCTCAGGAAACCCCCCGGTTATCTCCACAAAAAATTACAATAAACAGCGGTGATCTTTAATGGCATGCCAGCGTGTGGAGTGCAGGCTATCAGGCTGGGGCAGTAGAGGCCTGCGTCTGTCTTTCTCTCTCCCCTGTGGTCAGCAGGCCTCCTCCAAGCTTTGGGCCAACATTCCACTACCTTAGTAACTACAAAGCAGAACAGTGCTAGCCAGGGCTTACTCATTATCCGAATGTAGTAAATGTGCAAGATTCATTTTTACATGTGTACTGAAATGCTGTTGCATTGTTTCTTTCTACCTCAGCAGCACCTGGAAAACTCTGCAGTGTTGATATGGGATGGCAAGGAGACCGGTTACCGAAGTTTCCTGTATAACACAATGCTGAGAAACTTTGCGTGTTGAATTTGCCAACTAGACTATGATTCTAGAAAAAAAAGAAGTTAATCTTGTGATAACCTTTTTGATGGCAG